TTTGTCAAATTGAAACTTTGAGACTTCTATTGTGCGTAAACATAAACCGAAAGGATTCCTGGTGCCCCGGTAGCGCGGCACATAATATTTATATATATATGAGTAGTATATGATGTTTTCAAAGTGGTGAAATTGCGGAAAAAAACAACGCAATTACTGTAAGCACATACAAAAAACATAGTCATAAAATAGTTTGCTTAAACATGGCAACATAATTTCCAGCCTCTAAAATACGTAAATCTTGTTCCACGATCATTTGTCCCCACGTGTTTATAGGTTATATCTCGGATTGGGGGGGGGGGGGGGGGGGGGGGGGGGTCAAAACGTAATGAAAATAAACTGGTATTCTATAGGGAAATTGTCCACTGTATAGTAAAGGTTATCTTTGGCGGTTTGTCTAAGACTTTAATAATTACCCATTTCACGCCGAATGGGGTTTTTTATTCAAGTTACCTTATCATTAATCGATATATTTTGATAAAAAAATTTAGTCTTGACGATCAACTAAGAATATATTTATGTTCACCAAAAACATTTGATGAAGATGATATGGATATAGCACTGACATTTTACACTATATTTAACATTTTACTGTTTAACTAAATATTTTCTTACTTACTTAAAAAATATAGGATGTAAAAAATAATGTGCTACATTCAAATGTCACAAAAACCATCTGACAAAAAAATTTCGGATTGTTGTGGTTTGATTTTGTTCGTTTGTCGTTTGTATTTTTGTCGTTCATAATTTATCGACCAGTTTTCTGTAGTTTCTTCAAATAATCATCAGGTTGGTATCAAGTATCAATGGAAATATTGGGGAAAATATTTTAATCTGACGACACTACAAATTATCGATTACATCAGTCGATTACATTTAACCACAGATGATTGAATCCGACCACAGCTGTTGATAATGATTACATCCGGCCACACTCTAGTCTCTACTATAACAGTTGACCACAGCTAACTTCAGCTGATTCAGTTGACTGCAACTGATTCAATCCGACTAATTCTGATTATTTAGCTGAATACGCTGTAGTATTTTAGTGTTTAGTGAATCAAAAATTTCAACATACAACAATACAATTATCATCAAATTTTCCTTAATAACGAACTCAAAGACTCCACAAAACGGCAAACAGATGAAAATGAAATATTTGGAAGAGTGAGCCGGTCCTCGTAGTGGTGTTATCCTGACCTCTGAAAACAAACACAATGATTTGTTTGAATTCTACCGGTCAACATTTTATCTCCTAGCAAGCCGCACAGAACCCGTTAGAACGCATTAGATGTTGGTTTGCGGTGATGTTTGGAGTTCAGCTTCATCTCAGTTTCTGATGTTGGTTATTTGGACCGTTTAGAGTGTTTAGTTGGTAATCGCTTCTTTCTATATTCCACTTCCTAACACTAAACTGCTTTGTTGCACGGTTCATTTTATAGTTCTATATAAATTTTAAATTTCCTTCAGTGTTGTCACTTTGTAACTTCCTTCCTTATTGAGCTTTCCTTCTGATTATAATTTAATCTGTGGGATTTAATTTGGCTGGTGGTTTTGTTAGCCACCTAGGAGGTCGGTCACCTTCTTACTTGGAAATCGAAACTAAAAATACGCTATAGAAATACTTATTTCCGCAATAATTCAAGTTTTTCTGGCGAAAATTTATGTAACGTACGACTAAAAGTCAAGCGTATGTTCTACTGATAAATTTAATTTCTATTAGAGATACATTTGATGAAGCCAGACGTTAGATTTGAGGAAGATAAAGAAAACGACCAGCTGCATATACCTCTCACTCCGTCACCAGATCTTTTGTGAGTTTGTTAATTATATTCAATGAGGTTATTAATATTTTGTAAATCATTTTTTAATAAATTACTTTTTAGTAATTTACTTTTTATTTATTTGCTTTTTGATTAATTACTTTTTACTAAATCGGGTAAATCACTCATCAATTAATTACTCATTATGACAATAAATAATTACTCATAGTCATAATTAATTACTCATTAATAAATTTCTTTCAGAGATCACAGTGAAGACATTTTCTGTAAACTTCCACCAGATAACTCTGCCTGTGGTGCCCTGAGTTACTCACTACCCTTCCCTGTTTTCAACTACCCATCCTACACCCAGTCTCATAACCAGGTTAGTGACGTCATCACATGCCAAGTGATGTCATCACACCAAGTGACGTCATCACACCAAGTGACGTCATCACACCACGTGACGTCATCACACCACTTATCCATGTCGAATTAAACCACGTGACGTCATCACACCACGTGACGTCATCACACCACGTGACGTCATCACACCACGTGACGTCATCACACCACGTGACGTCATCACACCACGTGACGTCATCACACCACGTGACGTCATCACACCACGTGACGTCATCACACCACGTGACGTCATCACACCACGTGACGTCATCACACCACGTGACGTCATCACACCACGTGACGTCATCACACCACTTATCCACGTCTAATTACACCACGTGACTTAAAACCCCATTTCGACAGCAGGACCTACCAGCTGGCTATTTCAACTCGCCGTTCCCAACTCCCTCGCCGGTTTCCACTCCACAATCCTTTGTGTTTGATCCGACTTACCCTCAGATTCCTTATACTTCTCATCCGGGTAATATGGTGAGTGAGATTTTAATGTTAAAATATGTTTCATTTCATATTTTAGATACTATCGAAATAGTAATATTCATTATTCATCCTTACTGGACAGTATTTTAACTAAATTCATTTCATATTTTAGCTATCAATTAATTGCACAAGTACCGGGCAATAATTCTCCCTATACAACTTAGATGGCATTTAGATAATTACATTTCTAACATTGCTAACATTACTAGTACTGCTAACATTTCTAACATTGCTAACATTACTAACATTACTGCCTCTTCAGATGGTTTCGCCTGGAGGAGACTTTGCTTCCCGCCACCTTCCCGCACTCCCACTCCTAAAACCACCCCCTGCAAAGCGAAGGAGGTTTGTCAGGAGGTTAGTCAGGAGGTTAACCAGGAGGTTAGTCAGGAGGTTAGTCGGGAGGTTAGTCAGGAGGATAGTCAGGAGGTTAAGCAGGACGTTAGTCAGGAGGTTAATCAGGACGTTAATCAGGAGGTTAATCAGGAGGTTAGTCAGGAGGTTAGTCAGGAGGTTAGTCAGGAGGTTAATCAGGAGGTTAGTCAGGAGGTTAATCAGGACGTTAGTCAGGAGGTTAGTCAGGAGGTTAGTCAGGAGGTTAGTCAGGAGGTTAGTAAGGAGGTTAATCAGGAGGTTAGTCAGGAGGTTAATCAGGAGGTTAGTCAGGAGGTTAGTCGGGAGGTTAGTCAGGAGGTTAATCAGGAGGTTAGTCAGGAGGTTAGTCAGGAGGTTAGTCAGGAGGTTAACCAGGAGGTTAGTCAGGAGGTTAGTCAGGAGGTTAGTCAGGAGGTTAGTCAGGAGGTTAGTCAGGAGGTTAATCAGGAGGTTAGTCAGGAGGTTAGTTAGCAAGATTTTAGAGGTATTTTTTCAGCTACAATATTTTTTGGTTATTAAAGCCAAAATCTCTTGATGATTCATTTTACAGGACTAAAGCAGGAAAGAAAACCACTTCTAGTTCAAGTAGCGTATCTGGGAGCAAAACGCAAAGCAGTAACTCCGGTTCTAGAAAATCTCAGAAGAATGCTGTAGCTAGTAAGGTGAACGAACTTAAAACAACATTGCTCGAATATCATGACGGTAAATATCATTTTTTCAGTTTATTAAATTTCAAATAAGTTTTCACTCGGACTTAATTAAATTTAAAACCATTAGACCTCTTTTAGAACCTTTTTCAGTACACTAAAATTATTCAGCTGCTGTTTACTTGTTGCATAAACTTTTACTATCTAACGTATAATTCACCAATAAAATTATGAATTATCAAATTAATTAATAATCTCTCAGCTGCCAGTGACGAGCTGTGGAGACCGGGAGGTGAACCTAAGAAAAAGAACAAATCTTGCCAGACAACTTTCAAACAGCCTCTTCAGTTGGCGTCCTACGAGGAGTTCGCCTCACTTGCTCTTTTGCTCAGCGTATTTCAGTGAGTTTATTTGCTCAGCCTCTTTTATTTTCTGTGAGTTTTAGTTTCCTCAGCTAATGTATTTTAGTGGATGTGTTTGCTCTTTACAAACTTTATTCCACTTGGGTGTTGGGTGAGGTACTTATTTCTCTTATATCTTTATTTATTTCCAGTAAAGAAGCAACGGATGACGCTGGCAAGAGATACGGTGTAAAGTGTAAAGGGTAAACCCAGACACATGTTACCATGACAACCAAACTGAGACAGTTGCGAAGCTCCCTCCCATCTCAGAGCTCTTTATCACTCACGTTACAAAACTCTAATCAGTGCTACATGAGTGCGATTGGTTCACTGCCGGCGGGTTATTTCCGATTAACATGACTACACGTGTTTGTGGACACTTGCCTCGAAATTATAAGTAGGCTCTGTTTAGATCTCGGATGTTTTCTTCGAAACGTGGTCAGAGATAGTTTCCAGGGATCAAGAGGGTCACGCCTGTAACTTTATTTATTCAAGTCATATTTTTAGGAGTTTTATTTTATTTTTATACCAGCCGCTATCAGAATTTGTAATTTTCATGATTTATTTCAATTTTTAACATTATCTCATTGTGGTTTTTATCTGTTAACTTTTATAATTCAACGGAAGAATTTTTGTTTCATTTTGATTACTCCCGTTGACTGTTATAAAAAATAACAAGCCAATAGCCATACACTTCCATCATAAGTCAAAGTGACAATAATCCTACTCAAAGGACTAAACACAATTGACAATCATGCCCATACTAGTTGAGAGGACTAAACGCCCCTCCCATAGCCTAAATAAAACCACATGTATTCACAGAGCCAAATAATTGCATCAGGAGCGGCAAAACACCTAAACTTATCCAAGTATGACCCCTGTTATTATTATAAAGCGAGATACCCAACCACTGTTATTTGCGATGAGACTCGCGTCTCCGGGCCATTACCAAGTCAACATCATACATGCCCAGCAGACGTGATCAAGTCACGTGATACAGGGGTCCCTGATCCTCCGGGTGTATGCGGATAATATACCTCTTTTTTTGTTACTATGACAATCATAGTGAGGTCCGACAATCTGTAAGTGCTGCTTTACTGGTACTTAGCATAGTAACAGTTTGTTAACTAATACATAATACTTAATAGTACGGTAATTGCAGTGGCGTGATTGTGGGATATTGATTACTGTGGTGATGTGATGATTTTAGTTGGGGTTATTAGTAATACTGTCGGGATAGCTGATCACTGATGGATATTGTCTTGAGATATCTGCTCCCATGTCTGGATTTAGATTTATGACCTGCTGTCGAACGTCTAAATCCAAGTTTATGATTACTGATTTTTAGCGAGTATAAGTCGTGTGTTAATTGAAGAAGCTCAGTTGCCAAAACTTTTACTTTTGAAACGTCGAGTACGCTGGATTCTTATTTGTGACATGATATTCTTTCACAACTCGTTCGAGGAATAAATTAAATGAAACATCAACAGCTTGTTTCTTGTGAATTCTTGATATTTAATAAATTGCCTGATAAACAGTTACTTTTCAATTACTAGAAAGATATCTTTAAACACTATTGTGTGAACTGCAATCGAGTTGAGTGCAGTTGGGTTGAGTCTTGTAGAGATGGCTATGTGGCCATAATCTGTATTATTATTATTATTATCAAACATGGATGCAGATTGCAGAGTGATCGTAGTGGTGTTTGTATGGTGTGATAGTGGCTGGTGTTACATTCTTACATTACTCACTACTTACAGAGGGTCACTCACAACAGGACAAGTGCTCTTTTGCACTTTGATTTGAGGACATGTTCATTTGAGGGTGACCGACAACTGAGCCCAATTGAACTTAGTTCCCACGCAGTTAACAGGCACCGAATGATTACGCTAGTGTAATTTTGACACAATAGCTATGTGTAAAACTGATTGCGGAGGGGGGGGGGGGGGGGGTAAAAATGTTCCAAAAAATTATTACGTAATATGTGAAGGACCCCTAAGGTAGAAGTCAAAGTATCCTCCTCGTTGGTAAGACCACTTCGGACACTAGCCAATAAAGTGGTTCAGGTTACTTTGCTCAGATTACTTGGCTCAGATCTCGTGTATCAGGGAGATCCCATGGCAGGGAGGGCCTGCCATAGTTCAGATCTTGAGTCTTGGGTCGGAGATATAAAATAACAACAACTGTTGAGCCACCAAGACCACAAGGGCATACTATGAGTATGACCATTGCTTCTTTTGCATACATATCACTTTTCAACAGGCTATTCGCTACTACAATACCATATTTAGTTGAGGTAAGCCCACTCACTTAAAAGGGGTTGACTTGGCCATGTTATGAGGCTGGGTGAATGGGGCGAATATGTTGCAGGTCTTTGCCTGGGGTCAATATTACCAAGCTGTCAAAATATCATAAGTGAACTAGTAGCTCACTAGTCACTACTCAAAAAGACAAATAAACCTTGTTATTGCAGCTGTCCCAATATCATTAGTGAACTGGTAGCTCACTACTCAAAAAGACAAGTAAACCTTGTTATTGCAGCTGTCTCAATAGACGGAGAAGACGTATATATTTTTGTTGAACATTATAACTAGAAACCAGGCAGCAGCTAAACTAGAGCGGTATTTGGAAACCTGTTTATCTGTTAGTTATTTCTAACTGACGATTGGGTTCAGTTGTCGTTTCAAAGTTAATTAGGTAGACTGACTGGGTTTAACTTTTAAGATTATTTTCCCAAGCTACCCTGTCTAGAAAAAGTCCAAATTGGGTCCAGTTGTCCGGTAGCCTCATTTGAAGTTGAGGATATTGGTACAATGTTAGTGGGAGTATTGATCTGAATATGCTAATTTAATACTGACTAGATGCCAAAAGTATGCTTATAATGCCAAAAATGCTATTTTTTTATATAATTAATTATAATATATCCTGAGTCCCTGACCATCAAATCAACGTTCAACGTGTCGGCCTTATTTACACAACATTTATTTTCATGAACTAAAGTGGCGCATAAATATATCTATTTTTATACTTATAGATCTATTTTTAAGCATCTTAGCTCATAGATACTATTAAATCTCCATTTCACAAGTATCACCATCTCACATCTAAACCGGAAACGTAGTTCAAACATATATGAAACATAAACACTAAATAAAATGTTCAGTGTTAGCCATTACACAGATGTACAATTCATCTTCCTGATTATTCTAGAAGCGCGCGGCGTTCACGCCCACGTGCTGTCTCAAACATGTCGTGAACTCCAATCGCCATTTCTCTCGTTAACCGCAACGATACGTTTTGAAACTGCTATCACGAGACAGGATCTCCTGGGCCCGGCCCGGCTGTGCTGACAGCTGGACGGCAGACTGCAGGAGTTTGTAAATTGTATGTTTACTTGTCTAACTAGAGACATCCATAATGCGTGTCGTGCCGTTTGAGCGTTTATCTGTTATCTTATCGAACATCTCCAACGATCAGTTCGGATGTTGGATTCATCGCGTTTATCCTCATCCCATAAAAATTGTTTTATCGTATTATAGACTATAGTCTGGTCATTTCTAATGCACATTAACCTGAATTTCATAGTAAAGGGCTGAAATATGTTTTAGGGCATCTCCAAGAAATCTTGGATATCTTGCAAACCAATGAAACCTAATTAGTATTGCAATTGAAACACATTTCGTCAACTATATACTTATAGTTATATACCCGTACCACCCACCCAATCGTGGAACACGTTGCTAGTAAACGCCAGTAATTAGCAACGTCTTTAAGTACCGCAAACTGCAAAGTATAACTATAAGCCCCAAGCTGCCACTTCTTGCCAAACAACCTTTTAAATTACCTGTAACCGAAGAAATCTAAACCATAAAATGTAGTTTAACGGAGTAACACGGCTTCTCTCAAAGTTGTAACTTTAGCTTGCCTCCCTTGATCGTCTGGCATTCGAAATGGGCAAAATAATAGCTCTAAATTGTCAATTTGGCATTTTGGTTTGAGTGGTTTCTTTAAGTACCCAAAAATATGCATTTTAGTGCACACGTTGCTTTATAAGTTGTATATAAAAATGGCTATTGCGAGTCGTTTGTACCCTTTCGGAAGTCAATAGGGCTTTTTGTTATAGTGTCACCGGAAATTATTTTTTTGCCAATATAACTTAAAAAGTGAGCGTTTCAGTTCAATTGGCCACACAAGTAGGAAGTAAAATAAGGACCCGAGCACAGACTAAAATAGATCATAATAAGAGCACAGCTCAAAATAGAACAAAATCTGATTGGCAGTCACGCTGCACGTGACTGCCCGCACGTGACTGGCGCGCGTCCAATGGACGTTATGAAGGAGATTTGTTTTGGTTATAGCAGGAGAGATCACGTTTAGAGTGCGTGATCTGTCTGATTAGCCCACGTCACTGCACACGTGACTGTGCAGAGCCAATAGGGTGCTATGTAATTTGTGTAAGGTGTGTACGCTAGGTGCGTGTAAGGGACATCTAATTTATTATTAAACACAGCTGGCCTGCAGAGAATCGAAAATATAAGGACTTTTTATGGATGAAAATCGAAGCGAAAACCTTGTAACCCTATGGTTTCGAGTACGCTGAACAAGATTAAACTGGTTATAATTATCATACTCAAGGGCAAATTGCTTTAAAATGTACTTGAATGTCATAGATGCTATTATACTGGCTTATCGAGTGGCACCAGTCTCTCTCGCCACTAGTTCTCAGCTTATTATCGGGCTCGTGAAGGAAAGACCTCGAGTTCAGATGACGAAAACCATTTTCCCAAATAATGATTTTAAAATCTATTTTTCATACAGTAAGCAAGAAAAGCAGTCGGTAAGCAGTGTCTAATATCACATAATATAATCTTCATCAGAACGGGGTGAAACCTGGTTTCTTCACGTTCTTGTTGACGATCTTGACTGTCATGTCAATCTCGTCATCAAGTCGGAATGCTGGTGTGTCCAGACTTGAGTTTTTGTTAGGAGAGTGCTCTACCTTCTTTGGGGACCTGAACAACTGAAGGGGGTTCCTATACTTTGGTACAGGATAGTTCTTAGTTGGGGTCCCCAAACCTCTCTTGCTCCTCTCTTGACCATGGATAGCGGCTGGAGAGCGAGGAAGTGAGGCTGATCGGCCAGGTGGAGAAAAGGATGCCGATGTAGTTTGTGGGGCTGTGAGTGGCGAGGCCCCCTGCAACGAGTATCGACACAGGAAGAAAATCGAGAGGCAAAAACTGGCATTCTGAAAAACTCAGGTCTGCATTCAGCAAACAGCTTTACTTCTTAATTAGATAGTTTTTGTAAGATAATTGTCGATATCTAATGATTTGCAACTGTTAACAAGTAATCGATACGTTAGTTTTCATTATCAGTTACCAGGGTTACCCGGGTAACCAGTTGCCAGAGTTTCTATAGCAGCTACTGAGTTACTGGACAATCAAAAGGAGTAACCCAAATAGCTCGAGAGTCGAGATCACAGTCTGATCATGGACATTGAATAGAATAACACGTAAAATTTCGGCCTAAAATTTCAAGGTTTATCAACTGAAATAGTGAACTGAAAATATTTTACACAACTGAAATGGTAAACACAAAATACTAATCGAGATCAGCGAATTTAC